TGAAAGAAATAAAATGCCTCAGAGGAAGCAGATGGAGACTCAGTGGGAGGAGGAAAGGGCGAGGTCAGTTTTGTGTGTACGGGCTCCAAGAAGCCAAGGGGGCCAACTTTGAAGAATAAAACAGGAGGAGAAAAAAATGATTGAAGGCATCATGAAAACAATAGGGGAGGCAATATGACCCAGGTGACAAATTTTCAGAGAATTGGGTGGTTTGCGAGTGGAAGGATAAGGCCTGTCAGAGTAACTTTCAAGGAAGAATCAGTTCGAATCAGGATTCTTTCAAGAGAAAGCAAGACTGAGGGACAAAGAGGGGTACCAGAGAGTATACCCTCGACCGCGACAGAACACAAGAAGAAAGGACTACACTGAAAGAGAGGGTACAGAGACGCAAGGGGGAAAAGAGAAGCAATGAAAATGAGCCGGACCCAGACACAGGAGGAAGGGCAAACACACCCACAGAATCTCCCACCAAAAGACTCCACCGCGACACTCCCAACGCAACTGAGCAACCTATACTACAACCCACTCACTGTTCCCTCTGCCACCAACCCCCATATCACAAACCTCACCCCCAACAGCTGTCCCTTATGGGCATTCTGACCCCACCCCCAAACAACACAAACCCACCTACACCACAGCCCCATATAGGCCCCCACAAAGGCTCTCGCTCCCCCAACCCCAATATACTTGCATGACCACAATGATAGAAAAGAAACTAAAGGTTTGGTACACAAACGCGGATGGAATAACGAATAAACATGAGGAGTGGAATGAAAGAATCAGTGAAGAATCCCCAGACATCATAGCAGTCACAGAAACAAAACTCACTGAGACAATAACAGACACAATCTTCCCAACAGGATATCAGATCCTGAGGAAAGATAGAAGGAGTAGAGGGGGAGGAGGGGTTGCACTGCTCATAAAACACCGATGGGGATTTGAGGAAATGGAAGGCATGGACATGATTGGAGAAAGAGACTACATTGTAGGTACAATTCAGTCCGGAGAACATAAAGTAGTCATTGGAGTGATGTATAACCCACCACAGAACTGCAGGAGGCCAAGAGAGGAGTACGAAGAAAACAACAGGGTGATGGTGGACACACTGGCTGAGGTGGCAAGGAGAGCTCACTCGAGCAGAGCAAAGTTACTGGTAATGGGCGATTTCAACCACAGGGAGATCGACTGGGAAAACCTGGAGCCACATGGGGGTCCCGAAACATGGAGAACCAAGATGATGGATGTGGTACTTGAAAACCTCATGCATCAACATGTCAGGGACACAACCAGAGAGAGAGGGGAGGATGAGCCAGCAAGACTGGATCTTGTGTTCACCCTGAGCAGTTCAGACATTGAGGACATCACTTACGAGATGCCCCTTGGAGCTAGCGATCATGTGGTTCTGAGTTTTGACTATATAGTAGAGTTACAAGTGGAGAAGGTAACAGGAAAATGAAGGGGACAGGCCAAACTATAAAAGGGGGGACTACACAGGGATGAGAAAACTTCCTGCAGGAGGTTCAGTGGGACAGAGAAATGGTAGGAAAATCAGTAAACGAGATGATGGAATATGTGGCAACAAAGTGCAAGGAGGCAGAGGAAAGTTTTGTTCCCAAGGGAAACAGAAATAATAGGAAGACCAAAACGAGTCCTTGGTTTACCCGAAGGTGTAGGGAGGCAAAAACTAAGTGCAACAGAGAATGGAAAAGGTACAGGAGGCATAGGACCCAGGAAAACAAGGAGATTAGTAGAAGAGCCAGAAACGAGTATGCACAGATAAGGAGGGAGACTGCAAACCTCACTCAAGGAGAAAGATCTTGGGGTGAGTATAACACCGAGCATGTCTCCGGAAGCACACATCAATCAGAACTGCTGCAGCATATGGGCGCCTGGCAAACCTGAGAACAGCATTCCGATACCTTAGTAAGGAATCATTCAAGACACTGTACACCGTGTATGTCAGGCCCATACTGGAGTATGCAGCACCTGTTTGGAACCCGCACTTGATAAAGCACGTCAAGAAACTAGAGAAAGTACAAAGGTTGCGACAAGGTTAGTTCCAGACTAAGGGAATGTCCTATGAAGAAAGATTAGGGAAATCGGCCTGACGACACTGGAGGACAGAGGGTCAGGGGAGACATGATAACGCATATAAAATACTGCGTGGAATAGACAAGGTGGACAAGACAGGATGTTCCAGGGAGGGGACACAGAAACAAGAGGCCACAATTGGAAGTTGAAGACACAAATGAGTCAGAGAGATAGTAGGAAGTATTTCTTCAGTCATAGAGTTGTAAGGCAGTGGAATAGCCTAGAAAATGACGTAGTGGAGGCAGGAACCATACACAGTTTTAAGACGAGGTTTGATAAAGCTCATGGAGCGGGGAGAGAGAGGGCCTAGTAGCAACCGGTGAAGAGGCGGGGCCAGGAGCTAGGACTCGACCCCTGCAACCACAAATAGGTGAGTACAAATAGGTGAGTACACACACTCACACACACACACTAAGTGCTCTAGAGAAAGGAAAAAGTATAGAAGACATATGACCTAGAAAAATAGATTAGCCGAAGAGCCAGAAACTAATACACATGGATAAGGAAGGAGGCCCAACAGCAATACGAGAATGACAGCATCGAAAGCCAAATCTGACCCAAAGCTGCTGTACAGCCACATCAGGAGGAAAATAACAGCCAAGGACCAGGTAATCAGGCTGAGGAAGGAAGGAAGGAAGGGATATCACAAGAAACGACTGAGAAGTATATGAAGAGCTCAACATGAGATTTATGGAAGTATTCCCAGTGGAAACAGAAAAGACTCCAGCAGACTAGTTATATCAAGCTGTGGAAAACGATGACAGATCAAGCTTGCTTCTGAGAAAACACAGTTGATGATTGTCTGTAGACACCATTATGGTAATGCTGGAGCAGTGATACGAATGAATTACAGTGTTGGTACCCAGGGATGATGTTAATATCCTTCGGGTTAAATTGAAGAACTACGTCGTAAATCTTGCAAACAAGATGGTTAGGAAAGTTCCAGCTCTTAGACGTGTCTCTCATCTACTTGACAGCAAGTTACAAGATTCTGTATGAGGCACAAGTACTGTGGAAAATAATTTCCCAAAATTATATTGTGTGTTATATTGTATATTTTTTGTAATGTACACATACATGATTAACGCATTACTGTTGGTCAAAACATGCGCCGATGGGGAGGAGACGCCAGGAAATTGGCGTCCACGGCGGCCTAAGGATTAATATAGGCCTCACTTCGTAATATGAAGTGTTGTAACTGTTCCTGGTGAAGAGTGAGGGAACGTAATTTGCGGGACCACTATAATAAAGTGGTAAAATTGGTGAATAATGGTAGACGCCTATGGGACATGGCGCGACGTCATGACGAGTGTTCAGGGGGAAAATACCCGTGATTCAATCACTCATCGTCCTCGTATCTTAATGGATCAACTTCCGATGAGCGTAATCTAATAAGACCCTAAGTGGTCTTGTGAATTGTAGTGAAATCAGTGATAATAACACTAAGTTAAGGGAGTGTGTGAAGTGAAATGAGTCGCCGTTCTCCGAGTGAACACATGTGTGCGAGGGACACGGAGTTTTACGGAGCCACGGCTCTTAAATCGGGACAAACCAACGGATACCTCGTCCTGCTGGAAGAACCGTATCGGTTTAGCCGGACATCGGTATCGGAGGAGGAAATAAGACAGACAAGGAATGCGACCTCCTCACCCACGGTTAAGTAACCTTACTCACGAAATCGTAATGACACGATTGCAAATAAACCATACCACGGGCGGGGATAGAACCCGCGATCAGAGAGTCACTAACGCGACGGTCTGGAGTTTTGTGACTCTCTGATCGCGGGTTCTATCCCCGCCCGTGGTATGGTTAAGTAACCTTTCTAGTTACAGCAAACTGATACTGGCCAGTCAAGTATGTTATAATATGACAGGTGTTGTGGGTGATCCAGGTGCATCAAGTGACCACCAGAGAAAATCTGCTAAGTGGTGGTATTATATACAAGTGTTTTCCCTGATGGATAAATGTGTGTGTAACCCCCCCTTCGCCTTCAGTCAGTCTAATATAATCCATACAGTCCACAACTAATTAGTAGCACCGTACTTGTGGGTGCTATTCACTTCTAAGTTATAGTACTGGTCTAGGACAGATGTGTTTATTAAGGTGTGGGATATCGAAGGGGGCTGCTTCCGGTGACCAGGAGTGGCTTAAGTTTTCTCACACTTCTACACAGGGTGACTACTGTAAACAATATATGGTTGTCCCCTCCCATTGAGATTACTTGCGTGAATGTAATGTTGAGGTTCATACAGGTAACCCCTTATAAATTTTCCTTAAATACGCTCACTAATTGAGTATGCTCCACTTTCATAGACTGCATTCTCCCTGTCTCATCTGCGACTTCTGGACAAAATAAAGAACAGAGCATGACGACTCATCTCTCGCCTGGATCCAGCATGGACAGAGCTGTCATTTCAGCAGAGTCTTCAACACAGGAGGGATATGGGCGGCCTTACTGTTATGCACAGGGCCAACATTCTCTAGGTACCACACTTGGCTCCACTCCGAGGACAGCGAAAACTGAGGTTATACAGAACAAGACGGGCAGCAAACAGTAACTACACTCTGACTGTACTCTTTTCCAACCCACCGCTTCCTCTGAGATCATTTATCCCTAGTATGACTTGTGTCTGGAACATGTTCGTACAGCATAATGACAGCAACGAAATAGTCATTTAACCAAATCAAACCGCTGACCCACAGTTGGCTACAGCTCCATCCTGTTCCCTAACTGTATATCTTTCAAGAAAACGGCATCCAAATGAACTGATGTAGGTAGCAGTTCCTAGCTTGTAAATAAAGTTAAGAACCCTATAAAACCCAGTGTAAAAAAATGAAAGAAAGAGAAAAAGAGAGAGAGGGAGAGAGAGTGAATTAAGATATTCTGTATATATTTATTTTTGTCTTACACCAAGTTTGCATCTGACCAAGTGTTAATATTTTCAGAGATAAGGTAGCAGTAACTGCCTCCGAGATCAAGCCAGCGACTGTCTGGGCAGTGTCCCGTGACTGGTGGGTCGGGCGTCGGCACACTTCCTGAAATACACAAAGACAAATAAATATTTGCTACAAGTAATGAGATTAAGATTTAAGAACTGGGTTTAGTTTCTTTCAAGAAGAATAGTGTTTATTATTATTATTATTATTATTATTATTATTATATTATTATTATTATTAACTTTTATTATTATAACTTTTAATAATATTATTGATGATTATAATGTAAAAGCTGGAAGAACATGTCTCACAGGCTGAGGCACAACAAAGGCCTCGCCACGTACAGGTTTCATTGCATAATTTGCGTGAAGTACCTTCAGTGAGTCTCATAATGAGAACCAGTGCATGAGGCTCAACCTACCGTCTTTTCTGATTATACTTCATGATAATTTTAGATAAAATATTAGATAAAAAATTATTAGATAAAATATTATCTAATATTAGATAAAAAAAATGTTAATTATAAATCATTCGAGATTGATTTCTTTAAATATATTACATATTATTAAATATATTATCGAATACAGACGTATTCGAGTTAATTAAAAAGAAAAAGTTATTAAGTTGGTTTGTGTTGATAATTCTTGTACTTTGTAATGAGTGTAATTAGTGAGATGGTGATGGAAGAATTTATGTTGTCACGTACAGTGTTGCTAAGACTTCTTTTGATGTTGATAGATGTTACTGACCGTTGTTTGCAACACAACATGGTCTGCCAGCTTGCAACATGACGAACAGTCTTAAACCTGATTACCTCCCATTCCCTAGATACTGACCAGCTCCTACGGATTTAGATCTCTGTGAGAAAAGCAAATAAATGACCTAACATTTCCCAAGTACTTTAAGACCCCTTATAACTTTACTGTTTCACTATAAATTTAATAATAATAATAATACCTACCTTCTTCATATTTGCAGATAAATGGGCTTGTGTGGTCACAGTTGAGGGCGGACCAGAAACCATCTGTGGCGCTCACTCTGGTACATACGTGCTCACCGAGAGTTACATTAGGTTCTTCACTGTGCCAGTTGCTGTAGAATGATGGCCATCCATCACTCCACCTAAACACTTGTCCATCCTTCAATAGCAAATATAACATTAATTATCTATTAAAATCATTAGTGTTAAATACAAGGAACAGCTATTCAATTTGTGCAACGGGAGGTAATTTGTATTACCGCACATGATGTCTTTAACATCTTCCACCAAAGATCGCGCTCATAATTCATGTGACCTTACTCACATGACCAACTACAACATTTCAAGTTCCTTAAAGGAAGGCATTGTATTTTCCAACTCCAGGTCTCAGGCCCTGCTATTTGGTTTCCGTTAATCTCTACGCAAATATAGTGTGCTTACACTCTAAAAGCAAGTCTAACCTTGAAAACTAGTGGCCTACTCGCGCTTCTTTCTTGTATTCTCACAGAAGCTTCCTGAATGTCAAAGTGTCTAGCACTTTACATCTCATATTCAACACTAATAACACGTGAGTACAACATCCCAATTCATATTTATACCTTGTGGCTTGGAACAAAGCCGAACTATTGTCCCAAGAGCACAACAAACTGAGATGCCTGGAATATTAAGTTGACCAAAACCATCAAACAAAATAGAGAGATGACTTGATTCGTCTGTTCCAGTAGTGTATATCGAAATAAAACATGGAAAACTAAACACAGGCTAGTTGGCTTCTTGCAGTACTCTATTTACACTTTACTTACATCTAAGACCGTGACTCCGTCTCTTAACTGCTAAGTACTTGATACTGCCTAGTGTTAGGTAAAACACTGTACACTAAAGAACTTCGCTGGAGTCGCGTATTTTTCGCCACTTGTCGGCAGCTTGCCATAGTTTCCATCGAGAATAAATATTGTCTACAGCTGCAAGTCGGAGGAGGGAGTAACATTTAGAAAAGGACTGCCATTTATAAGACTTGGTTGGAAAGAGCAAAATGAATCAAAGAACTCAATAGATGCTTGTGATGTCTGGGTAAACACAATAAAACAGAGCCGCACCCAAGTAGCGAAAAGTCGGCATTGCAATAAATCAACGTACCATCTGGTTTTTATGTAAGGGCAACGAACCTAGGGAAATACAACCATCAATGACCAATGTTAAAATAGTTGCTGATGTTCGTAAGGAAAGTATTGCCGAGGCTGCATTGACCGTAGCCACAGTTAGGCTACAAAGTGATTGCAATAAAAGGAGAGTAATTTCTCAATTTAATAAAGATCAGCAAAACTTTATTGAGAGATCCTGTTTCAAGGAACAAGAGGTTTCCTGGTGAGCCAAGTCATACGAATTAATCTAATTTCCTGACCTACTCATGTACCCAAAAGAACGATATTGTCTACATGTCAGTCGGGCAAGGCTACCATAATAAGCAGTTGAATGCCGTGGTAGTAGTAGCTAGTGCAAGAAAGTGAAAACCTAGTTGTTGCCTCACACACTGAGTGCCAGTGGTTTGATGCCAGGCCGGGTGGAAACACTGGGATTGTTTCCTTACATCTGCTGTCTCCGTTCACCTAGCAAACAAGCAGGTACCTGGATGTTAGTCAACTGGTGTGGGTGGCATCCTGAGAATAATACTGAAGGACTCCGGTGGAAATAAGACAGACAGTCCTCGATGAAACACTGATTTTCTTGGGTTATCCTGGAGGGTTAAACCCACGGATTTAAAAATGCAAACAAAATCTTATATTTTAATGTTCGACCTATGACTATGTTGGTAGATTTCTACCACTGTTCATAGGAATGTTTAGTATGGATGGAGTATCTTAATGACATTTCATGGGATAAATAAACTCTCAGTGGGGACACTAATACTAATGAGCCTGTACAGAAAGTAGGTAGATTAGCTTACTGGTTTATGAACTTGACTGAGTGATCTTGCAATATGTTAGCAAGAGAAAAATAATATTTTAAATGAGGGTGTGATCAGTGAAGAATAATACTGGTGAGATTATCATGGAAATTGAAGAAGCCTGAATTGTTGAATAATTATCGAATGACTTATGGTCAAATGAAGGCTCAGTACCACAGTCTTGAAGAGACGCCCGAGTTGCTACAAAAATATAATGAGAAGCTGCAAAATAGGTTTATAGAAAAAGTACATCCGAAAGAGGCTCAGATTCTGACCCCTAAACAATTCCTCGAAGGACAGTTTTTAATATTGCAGTGTAAAGACAAGTAATAAAATCCCAAGCTTTAACGACAGTCTAATTACTGGGTTTTCCTTAACAGCAATCTGGCAGATGTTCTGCTAAATTTTCGAGCGCAAATTTATGCTTTCACGGTAAACATTAGCAAGATATTCCTCTAGTAGGAATAAATGGGGCAGACCGTGACATTAGGTTCCTATAACTGTTTACCTGGAGACCTGGAGAGAGTTTCGGGGGTCAACGCCCCCGCGGCCCGGTCTGTGACCAGGCCTCCTGTATTGGGCAAGGAGGAATAACATGTTGTAGGAGTGAGGAAGAACCAGTTGTGTGTGTGGGGGAAGTTCGTGAGGCAGTAGGTAGAATGAAAGAGGGTAAGGCAGCTGGGATTGATGGGATAAAGATAGAAGTATTAAAAGCAGGTGTGGACAGTTTTGGAGTGGTTAGTGTTTTAATTTAATAAATGTATGGAAGAGGGTAGGTACCTAGAGATTGGCAGAGAGATTGCATAGATCCTTTGTTTAAAGGCAAAGGGGACAAAAGAGAGTGTAAAAACGATAGGGGAATAAGTCTTGAGTATACCTGGAAAAGTGTATGGTAGAGTTATTATTGAAAGAATTAAGAGCTAAACGGAGAGCAGGATAGAAGATGAATAAAGAGGCTTTTGGAAGGGTAAAGAGTGTGTAGACCAAGTGTTCAAAGTGAAACATATAAGTGGACAGTATTTAGATAATGGTAAAGAGGTTTTAGTGGCATTTGTGGATTAGGAAAAAGGCGTATGATAGGGTAGATAGGGAGGCAATGTGGCAGATGTTGCAAATGTATGGTATAGGAGATACCATACATTTGCTCCTATACCATGTATGGTATACGAGCTCAGGTTAGAGTATGTAGGAGAGAGGGAGATTATTTCTCAGTAAAAGTAGGCCTTAGACAGGGATGTGTGATGTCACCGTGGTTGTTCAATACATATATAGATTGAGTTGTAAGAGAAGTGAATGTTAAGGGGTTGGCAAGAGGTGACGGGGTTAAAATATAAAGAATCTAACACAAAGTTGGAGTTGTCGCAGATGCTCCTTGCTGATGACACTGCTTTTGGGAGATTCTGAAGAGATGTTGCAGTGGTTGGTGGATGAGTTTAGTAGGGTACGTAAAAGGAAATTAAAAGTGAATATAGGAAAGAGTAAGGTGATGAGGATAACAAAAAAAAATTAACTAACGAGAGATTGGATATCAAATTGGAGGGAGAACGTATGGAGGAGGTGAATGTTTTCAGATATTTAGGAGTGAATGTGTCAGCAGATGGATCTATGAAAGATGAAGTGAATCATAGAACTGACGAGGGGAGACAAAGAACTTTATCCATAGAAGCGAAGAAGGGAATGTATGAGAATATAGTTATACCAATGCTCTTATATGGGTGTGAGGCATGGGTGGTGAATGTTGCAACGAGGAGAAGGCTGGAGGCAGTGGAGATATGTCTGAGGGCAAAGTGTGGTGTGAATATAATTCAGAGAACCCGTAGTTTGCAGATTAGGAGGGCTGAGGAGGGGTTATTGAGGTGGTTCGGACATGTAGAGAGGAAGGAACGAAATAATGACTTCGAGAGTGTAAATCTGTAGTGGAGGGAAGGCGGGGGTAGGGGTAAACCCAGTAAAGGTTTGAGGGAGGGGGTAAAGGAGGTTTAGTGTGCGAGGGCCTTTGACGTCCAGCTAGCATGCGTGTGTTAGATAGGAGCGAATGGAGACATATGGTTTTAGGGCTTTAATTGTTGGAGTGTGAGCAAGTTGACAATTAGTTTACATTGGCAAATAATTAATTAGTAAAATCCTAAATTTGAAGAGTGGGGCGGTTGGGCGCTCCCAAAGAAAAGTATAAGAAAATTATCAAATGAAGAGAAGGATGCTTTTGTTGATGTTGGATTGAGTGATATTTCATATCAGGAGTCTGACGGGTATCAGATACTGTGAGATACCAAACAAGTAAACCCTGATGTAGCTGGGTGTACAGATGATCTTCCCTAGTTACTATTACCTATGAATATAACATAAGATACGTTGTCTACTCTTTGTGAAAGAGTTTTAAATTCTGATGATATAAAGCTGCCGACATCCAACACCACATATTAGTCGCAATTCATTTACCACAAAAATTTAGCGAGTTATTTAGCAGTTATTGATGGATATTGAATCAGAGGTGGAGAAGATTAAGGAAGGCATGTTTATATATTATAAATTAATATATTAATTCGCTTATCAAAATTAATATCGACTAGAGAAATGCTACTTAATGTTCCAATAAATTCAAATCTTTTAAGTTAACTAGTAATCACTTTAAAGGTATTAAATCTAAATAACAAGTGGCACATCCAAACAATAAATAACAATGCATTTCTCAAATTTGCCGAAAATTTTTTAAACATTATGATGGATATTGCACATCAAGTGAAAAGATTAATGTTTTTGTTATCAACTTATTATGTTGAAATTCTTATCAAAATTAAATGTAAAATTTTAAATTTCCCAAAATAAATGTATCACATTTGTTTCAATAAAGTTGCATTATGGAAATTATCACATTTGTTTCAAAAGTAAGCAACAATAAATTGTATCAAAATGTTCAAAGGCTTTCAAAAATAAAATTCTTTCACATTGCCAAAATAATTGTACAATTTGTTCAAAGTTGTTTAATAATCTATAAAGTTTAATTTCAGAGTTGCCAAAAATAAATTGTATCACATTTGTTTCAAAGTGGTACAACTCACAGAGTGAATGATGATCGTTGTATACAGACAGATTCTTAAATATTCAGCATTAACTTTTAGGTATTTACACACTGAGCTGAGGAGGGAATCATTGGATTCATTTATGTATTTCTCAAATTATCCCAGAGATAATCCATTCTATGATAATAGTAATAAAGAAGAGTTTCATTATTAAAATCTGAAATGAATTATAATATTAGTTAATTAGTAGCTTAGAAGGCAAAAATGCGTTCTGTAAATCTTGGCGGTAGAGAAAAGGGAATCACTTCCTATTTCATGCCTTTCTTAATTAACTCGTACTCACTATAAGAATACTTTGCCTAATCCAGATAAGGAAACTTTTGATTGTAAAACAATAATGAGATGGGGGAAATATGTAAAGTTATTAAAAAGAGAGGGTTGTCTGAGATAAAACATACCTCAGACACCACTAGTTCCTTATGTTAGGTCACCCTGATATGCCGTCTAAATGCAAACAGAAAACTGGGAACATCAGGCCAAAATCAATACAAACTTTTCTCCAAGCAAGACTGACCATCTTCTAAGAAAGTAAGCACAAGTAATTAAGAAGGTTTTATGTAAATTTAATGCTTATAACAAATGTTTAACAGTTGTGTTGAGGGCATGAACTGATATATCAGCCATTGAAGACCGAGTCATTCACAGTTATGGTAAGGATTCCAGCGATTTCATTTCTTTACTATTTTACTACATTAAAAAAATTGGCCTCTGCATGAGCAAAACTTAAAGGTGAGAGTAAGACACATGTGCAACATCTGGGTATCTTTATTGTAGACGTTTCGCCATCCAGTGGCTTTATCAATACAAATTCTAGGACATAACTTGAAGACAGTAGAACTATGTACAGAAGATGAGGTAATCAGTCCCTCAACCTAGGAGTAGGTGCGAAGAGCACCATAGTCGTGGAGATTCTGAAGCAGAAGAAAGGATCCTGGCGCTTATATAGTAACGTCAGGTGTAGCAGACGAGGGCATATTCACTGGTAGGCGGGATTCCCAAGTGGAAGTAGGTCCTAACTTGAAGACAGTAGGTCTACTGTCTTCAAGTTATGTCCTAGAATTTGTATTGATAAAGCCACTGGATGGCGAAACGTCTACAATAAAGATACCCAGATGTTGCACATGTGTCTTAATCTCATCTTGTCGGTATTATATACCATTCGTACACAAAACTTAAAGGGAACCATCCAGGCCCTAAGATGCGTCGTTCATTAAATGCTGAAGCCGTTGACAAAAAGTAAACGGAATTTTATTTAACGTAATTTAATGGGAGTAAAAAAAATTCACACCATTGTACACATCGAAAGGGCAAATCTTCACCTGCACACTGAATTTCACTTTATTTCATCATGGAAATAAGAGACGCCTTTTTTAACATTTGAAATTACAAAACTTAGGAATATGGAAGTTAGCCAAGTCATTTGACGAAAATGGAGATAGGTACAATAACTTTTTTTCCCCAGGTACCTGAGCATATCAACTGTTCCAAAAATTTTCTCCTCGTTATTGTACATAAGCATTGAAAATTTAAAGCATATTGGATGAGGCATTCTCAAGTTGAGAGAAAGAAAAGCGAAAAGTTAGAGGAAGAAAATAATAAAAAAAATAAAATATATGTCAACTACTTAAAGTCTCACTTAAGGATGCCTAATAAATGTTTGTAAATCTTCCCGAAAGTAGTTAAGAATTAACTCACTTTATTTTAATTCCATGAATGTTAGATAAGCCAGACCAAGTCTTGGAGAAAATAACTTCACTTATATGTTTGTAAAGCCAAGCCAGGCCTTAGAGAGGACACCCTCATATGCATGCTAAGCCAAGCCTGGAGACGATAACCTCACCTGCATGTTAGTGAATCCAAGCCAGGACTCAGACATGTCATTTTCTTGCATGATGACCCACATTACGGCGTCCTCTGAGGGGTCATGGACTGAGGCTAAGTGAGCTCCATCTTCTTTACACAAAGCTTCTGCTTCCTGAGCCAAAATAACGGCATACAACATGAGGTTATTAGTAAATCAAATATATTATTTTAATTAAGAGCTATTGAGATATTCTTCCCCCCCCCCCCCCGTAATCTATGCGTGTCGGAAAAGTTGACAGAAACATCGAGAGTAAGGGCATAGTAATCCGTTCTCCTGAATAAATTACTAAACTAAAAGTTAGGATGCTTGAATGTGCGTTGATGTAGAGAAGATAATTAAGAATTTGAATGTAATGTATGAAAAAATCTGATTGTTCTAGCTCTAAGCTATGAAAAAGCTGAAGGGGTAGGATAATTTAAGTAGGGAGAAATGAATGGGATTATGACTGACGATTGTAAACCACGGAATAGGTGGGGTCTAAACCCATGGCGAGTGATTCATAAAACGCCAAACTACCTGTCCGATTGGCTTACACACTGGCTTGGAGTTTTACCACTCATGACTAGGCCTACTGAAGGAGTAGCGGTAATGAATGATCAGTTATCGAAGAAAAAGAGGAAATTTAAATATATAAATTCAACGATAATGTACATTAAATAAAGGTCGGATGCAAAAAGTGTGACTTAGTATTTATGTATCTGGAGAATGGAGAAGTGTAGAGGAAAGAGATTTTGGGAGATGTTAAGTGAGTATTTAGGAAGTGTTGAACTGAGAAAATATTTGCGTTGAATGGTACTTCCTACAAGAGTGATGGACTAAACACATTGATTCCAAGCTGAGGGACTGATTACCTCAAACTCCCCCTCTCTTTATACCCTTCTTCTTTGTATTGGACTGATGAAGCCACTGTGTGGCGAAACGCTTCTTCAATAAAGATTCCCATATGTTGCATAAGTGTCTCAATTCTGAGAAAATATTTGCTGAGGGACACATTAAAGCTATAATGGAGAAACTGATGTAGAGGGTATGTTAAGTAAAGTTGGGGTGCCAGGTGTAAAAGATAATGGAGGGTCTTCAACTGAACTTGTGTAGAAAGAGGCACTTGGTTATAGTTAATACGTATTTTAAGAAAAGAATAAATAAGTACACGGGATATAGGACATAATGACAACAGTCTTTTAAATTACGCATTAATAGATTGGTAGACTTTTGGATGTGCATTTCTTAGAGGGATCAGAGGAATATCATACCCGATTAAGTTGTAACCAGTGAATGTAAGAGGTAGATGGGATACAAGGAGAATGTTATCAATACCAGAGAAGTGAATGTTCATAAATGAAAGATAAAAGACAGTGATTATGTATGAGTGAGGTGAAACTGTTGAATGACGATGAAAGTATTTTCTTTTGAGGGTTTTTTCTTTATTTTGGGGTCACCCTGCCTCGGTGGGAGACGGCCGACTTGTTGAAAAGAAAAATAGGGTAAGAAATAAACAACTGTTGAGAGAAAAGCGAGCAACTTGTTGACAAGTGGATACAATAACAATGAAAATGACTACCAAAAGTTACTTGGATATACTTCCCTTGGCTCACATTATTAGGTTTCCAAGAACTGGAGATAAAACAAAAATCACAACTCGTTTGTATGTTAAAACCACATGATAACCCGCGAGCAAGTTGAGACAACATAATAACACCAGTGTAAACAAGACAGAAAACATAATAACCTATGAGTAAGTAGAAACTATATAATAATCCGTGTGTAAATTGCAACACTAGAAACCCATCACACTACATTAATATCTCACCTGCCACGTCATGGCTTTTATGACAGGTTTGTAAAAAACGCGCCGATTGATGTAATCATCAGGGGACCTACACATTAAAGGGTATGGGGCATTTGTGTTTTTTTTCTGCATCTTGGGAAAGGGGGCATATTACACACACACATAAAATATATAAAAATTTTAATTATATATATATATATAAAAAAAACGTGCCGAATAGAAAAACTGGTAAATTAGCAAAATCTTTTAAAAATTTAAATTTCCCTTTTGAAATTTTTCTCTTATACATTAAAGATTTTTTTCATTAATGTTAATGAAAAAATTTTAAATTTTTCACCAAAAAATTTTTCTTACCTAACCTTAATTAAAATCGCAATTTATTTTAGCCTAACCCAACAAAATAATTTTAGTTTTTGTTTACAAAAATTTTAATATTAAACAAACAGTGAAATTTTATTTTTTTTTCGTTTGGGTTTTTTAATGATTTTTGGGGAAATTATTGCTACACAAATTTTTTGCTTGTCTTATATGGCAAGATGAACGTTGTATTTAAGCCAAGATCGCAAATTTTGCCTATTCGGCCACGACCCGCATTTATATAATATATATATAATATATAATATATATAAATAAAAAATATATATTTTATATAATAAATATATATGAGTGTGAGTGAGTTGTTTCGAGTAAAGGGGTTTGAGGAATTTTTATTCCCTTTGGAAATTTATAAAAAACTTCGAATTTTTGGGCTGTTACAAAATTTTCCCTCTCAGGCAACAGGTATTGAATTAAGTTGTTTAATTTTTAGAGTCTTGGTAATTTTAACGAAAATCGTGCAATAAAAAAAAATCTTATTTGTTAAATTTTAAAGTATTTTAAAAACAATACTTTATCTTCTTTTGTACATAATATTATATCTTAATACTATATGTACAATAGTTTTATGTATTTACAGGAATATAAAGTTCAAACACATAGAAATGTCACATTAACAATGAAGACTAATCTTTAACTATTTAAAATTTAAGTCTTCACAAACATCGAAGTCTTTTTCTCAACAAGACTGTGTTAAACCCAACTACATAAATGTACAAAATTTAACAAGACCTCTGAATTCTGTCATAAAGACGACAGACAACAAGAATTTGTCTGAAAAGATGTCTCTCTAAAGATTGCTGGAATGCCCAAGAATATGTACTACTCAATCTTCGGAACAATACTGAATGAACTATGAGCCAGCTCTTAAGTCTAATTCTCAAGAAAATTCAACCTGAGTGAGTCTAAGAGAGAACCAATATATGATCAGTAGTCTGGGCTAGATCAGGGAGCAGACTGACTCACTTCCAGTCTGTTGACCCGTTATCAGGTTGGACCACTTGACCCAAACGTCAGTAAGCCGGACTTAAACAAGTGAACAATTTACCTGATGGTTTCCTGACTTTTGTATGTTCTATATACATATAAGAAATCCTACCTAACAATAATAATAATAACTAAAAATCATCGATATCGATAATAATAATAATGTGCGTGGATGTTGTGCAAATGATAAGAAAGAGATGATTGTGGATGTTATGAATGAGAAGAAACTGGATGTCCTGGCTTTAAGTGAAACAAAGCTGAAGGGGTGGGAGAGTTTCAGTGGAGAGGAATAAATGGGATTAGGTCAGGGGTTTCAAATAGAGTTAGAGCTAAAGAAGGAGTAGCAATAATGTTGAAGGATAAGCTATGGCAGGAAAAGAGGGACTACAAATGTATAAATTCAAGGATTATGTGGAGTAAAATAAAGATTTGGATGTGAAAAGTGGGTTTATAGTAAGCGTGTATGCACTTGGAGAAGAGAGAAGTGTAGAGGAGAGAGAGAGATTCTGGGAAATGTTGAGTGAATGCGTGGGGAGTTTTGAATCAAGTGTGAGAGTAATGGTGGTTGGGGATTTCAATGCTAAAGTGGGTAAAAATGTTATAGAGGGAGTAGTAGGAAAAATTTGGGATGCCAGGGGTAAATGTAAATGGGGAGCCTTTAATTGACTATGTGTAGAAAGAAATTTGGTAATAAGTAATACATATTTTATGAAAAAGAAGATAAATAAATATACAAGGTATGATGTAGCACGTAATGAAAGTAGTTTGTTAGATTATGTATTGGTGGATAAAAGGTTGATGGGTAGGCTCCAGGATGTACATGTTTATAGAGGGGCAACTGATATATCGATCATTATTTAGTTGTAGCTACAGTTAGAGTAAGAGGTAGATGGGAAAAGAGGAAGGTGGCAACAACAAGTAAGAGGGAGGTGAAAGTGTATAAACTAAGGGAGGAGGAAGTTCGGGCGAGATATAAGCGACTATTGGCAGAAAGGTGGGCTAGTGCAAAGATGAGTAGTGGGGGGTTGAAGAGGGTTGGAATAGTTTTAAAAATGCAGTATTAGAATGTGGAGCAGAAGTTTGTGGTTATAGGAGGGTGGGTGCAGGAGGAAAGAGGAGTGACTGGTGGAATGATGAAGTAAAGAAAAAGTTAGCTTACGAGAGGTTTTTACAAAGCAGAAGTGTTATAAGAAGAGCAGAGTATATGGAGAGTAAAAGAAAGGTGAAGAGAGTGGTGAGAGAGTGCAAAAGGAGAGCAGATGAAAGAGTGGGAGAGGCACTGTCAAGAAATTTTAATGAAAATAAGAAAAAATTTTGGAGTGAGTTAAACAAGTTAAGAAAGCCTAGGGAAAGTATGGATTTGTCAGTTAAAAACAGAGTAGGGGAGTTAGTAGATGGGGAGAGGGAGGTATTAGGTAGATGGAGAGAATATTTTGAGGAACTTTTAAATGTTGAGGAAGAAAGGGAGGCGGTAATTTCATGCACTGGCCAGGGAGGTATACCATCTTTTAGGAGTGAAGAAGAGTAGAATGTAAGTGTGGTGGAGGTACGTGAGGCATACGTAGAATGAAAGGGGGTAAAAGCAGCTGGAACTGATGGGATTATGACAGAAATGTTAAAAGCAGGGGGGGATATAGTGTTGGAGTGGTTGGTGCTTTTGTTTAATAAATGTATGAAAGAGGGGAAGGTACCTAGGGATTGGCGGAGAGCATGTATAGTCCCTTTATATAAAGGAAAGGGACAAAAGAGATTGTAAAAATTATAGAGGAATAAGTTTACTGAGTATACCAGGAAAAGTATATGGTAGGTTTATAATTGAAAGAATTAGAGGTAAGACAGAATGTAGGATTGCGGATGAGCAAGGAGGCTTCAGAGTGGGTAGGGGATGTGTAGATCAAGTGTTTACATTGAAGCATATATGTGAACAGTATTTAGATAAAGGTAGGGAAGTTTTTATGCATTTATGGATTTAGAAAAGGCATATGATAGAGTGGATAGAGGAGCAATGTGGCAGATGTTGCAAGTATATGGAATAGGTGGTAAGTTACTTAATGCTGTAAAGAGCTTTTATGAGGTTAGTGAGGCTCAGGTTAGGGTGTGTAGAAGAGAGGGAGAATACTTCCCGGTAAAAGTAGGTCTTAGACAGGGATGTGTAATGTCACCATGGTTGTTTAATATATTTATAGAGGGGGTTTTGTAAAAGAAGTAAATGCTAGGGTTCGGGAGGGGCGGGATTAAATTAGGGGGAATCAAATTCAAAATGGAATTGACACAGTTACTTTTTGCTGATGATACTGTGCTTATGGGAGATTCTAAAGAAAAATTGCAAGGTTAGTGGATGAGTTTGAGAATGTGGGGTAAAGGTAGAAAGTTGAAAGTGAAATAGAAAAGAGTAAGGTGATGAGGGTATCAAATGATTTAGAAAAAAGAAAAATTGGATATCAAATTGGGGAGGAGGATTTATGGAAGAAGTGAATGTTTTCAGATACTTGGGTTGACGTGTCGGCGGATGGATTTATGAAGGATGAGGTTAATCATAGAATTGATGAGGGGAAAAAAAATGAGTGGTGCGTTGAGGTATATGTGGAGTCAAAAAACGTTATCTATGGAGGCAAAGAAGGGGAAAGTATGAAATATAGTAGTACCAACACTCTTTTATGGATGTGAAGCTTGGGTGGTAAAGCAGCAGCGAGGAGGGCGGTTGAGGCAGTGGAGATGTCCTGTCTAAGGGCAATGTGTGGTGTAAATATTATGCAGAAAAATTCGGAGTGTGGAAATTAGGAAAAAGGTGTGGAGTTAATAAAAGCATTAGTCCGAGGTCAGAAGAGGGGTTGTTGAGGTGGTTTGGTCATTTAGAGAGAATGGATCAAAGTAGAATGACATGGAAAGCATATAAATCTATAGGGGAAGGAAGGAGGGGTAGGGTCGTCCTCGAAAGGGTTGGAAAGAGGGGGTAAAGGAGGTTTGTGGGCTAGGGGCTTGGATTTCCAGCAAGTGTGCATGAGGTGTTAGATATGAGTGAATGGAGCGAATGATAACTTGGGGGCTTGACGATCTGTTGGAGTGTGAGCAGGGTAATATTTAGTGAAGGGATTCAGGGAAACCGGTTATGTTCATATAGTCGGACTTGAGTCCTGGAAATGGGAAGTACAATGCCTGCACTTTAAAGGAGGGGTTTGGGATATTGGCAGTTTGGAGGGATATGTTGTGTATCTTTATACGTATATGCTTCTAAGCTGTTGTATTCTGAGCACCTCTGCAAAAGCAGTGATAATGTGTGAGTGTGGTGAGTTGGGTTACTCTGCCTCGGTGGGAGACGGCCGACTTGTTGAAAAAAAAAATAATAATAATGATAATATTCAAAAACTGTTCCTGCAATTACTTTGAGGTTGCATCCTGAGGCTTGTTTACCACCAATATGACAAGGTTTTGGTATTCAGTCTTTACTATCTAAACTTCAACTACATCATTTGAGGTGTTTAGTATTTCTGTGCAAATGAGAGACTCTGTGACGTATAGGCCAACCCTTTCTCCCCTTTGTTGCCTGTCTGATCTGTCGCATTTAAATAGGTTATAACCCGGCATCCATATTTCGTTGTCAAAATGGTCCTCTATGTGGGTCTCTGTGAAAGCTGAAAACATTGCGTTTGATTCTGCGATGAGTCTCTTGATGAAGACCCTGTATTTTTACAAAGATAAATGTGGTGGTATTGATGGAACGCAACACTTACCTATTGGTTTCTGACATAAGTATCCATTCTCGGCGTCGCAGACATCATCACTCCACCGGCCAGTTTGAGTATGTACCAGCATCTTGACGCAGTTCTCACCCTTGTTAAAAAGAAGAGACGTCATCAGTAAAAAATTCCCTGAAACCCGTATAAAATTATATACATAATGTTTCCTTTAAGTTAAAATAAGTTGATCCTAGATAAGGGATCTTGGAGTGAAATTAGATTTACCTTCACTTTCCTGGGATCCTCCCACTAATAGAGTTACCAGGCTTCATTTTTCATTGTTTGCATCGCTCTTGGGCCGTGCGGACGTGCTGCGCAGTCGCTCCTGATTGAGTTGGCTTTTGCGCAGTTTACCTGTTTTCACTTGGATATCAAAATGGCGGAACGTACAGGACGGAGAATAAATACTATCTGCATTGAGCTGGTTCGTGGTACGTTAAGTGGAGATACGATGAACGTCCTTCTCCCTAGCATCATCAGGGATACATATGGTGTTCCCAATGAGGAATTGTATGGCGTCGCTCTTAATGGATTGACAAGAATCTTCGTGAAATTTGTACGAGCCGGCTTCTACACAAGAATTGTCGAGCATTACCAGGAACAACACATGAGTGTGAATTCAGCGATGGATGTCGTTTTACATGACGTCTCTAAGTACTTCACATGGGTGAAGGTACGAAATGTACCCTTCGAGGAAACGGCATATGGTCTACAGGAGTTTTTCAGCAGTTATGGGAGAGTGCATTCTGCAACAATGGGGGTGTGGAGGGATGGTCCGTATGAAGGGCTGCCGGAGGGTTCTTACACCCTTAAAATGTCTTTAACAAGGCCTATACCATCCTATGTTACGATGACCGGTTATAGAACACAGGTTTATGTGTACTATGCTGGTCAGAGGAAAACATGTCGTTTTTGTAGCTCTTATGAGCACATGGCAGCCCAGTGTCCGAGGAGGCAGGCTCCTCGAGTTCTGGGAACTCCAATTGTGATTCAGCAGCCATGTGATTTGGTGCCTGGCTCTGGTGCCTCGGGAGGCCGGAGAACTGACCTCTGGAGCGAGGAGGTCGAACGGGAGGTGGCGGCGGCGGAGACGTGTGTCCCCTCTCCCAGGGGCGTCGGGGTAGTCGAAGGTGACATCTGAGGAGTCTTTAGCCCAGGAAGCTTCGACCCAGGATGGTTCATTGGCGGATGTGATCAAGGATTTTCTGGATGGGGAGGAGCCCTGTGCAGAAGGTGTCCTCAGTTGATGTGAGGACGGAGCGCTGGAGGGACAACAAATCGTGGAGGAAGACTTGAGTAAGAAAGGACTGGAGTGTGTGGTGGTCGTGGAGGTACACCAGGAGGATTCGCCGGGTGGTGATATGTGTGTAAGTGGAAGTTCTAGGAAAAGAACTGCTGCGTCAGAGATAGACGAGGTCATTACCCCGGGGCAGAGGCCGGGGAAGAAGTCATGGGCAGCGGTGGTGGAGCCGATGCCTCATAGTGGTAGAGGTGCGCCTGAGTTGCACAGTGGGAGAGGGAGGGGGGAGGTGACTGCACAGGAAAACTCGAGTGACAAGGGAACACGTAATGTGAAAAGTGCAGTGAGTAAATCCCAGCGGCATAGGGGAAAGCCGCCCCTTCTATAAATTTCAGGTGTGTCACTTCAACTCCATATTGTTTCAGACAATGGAACAATACTCTTCTCCAGACTGAGGGACTGACCACCTCAAAACTTTAAGGGTGATGGACTGATTACATCGTCTTCAAGTCTCTTCTGCTTCTATCAACTTCTCTGTACTCGACTGAAGAAGTCTACTGTGTAGGCGAAACGTTTCGAAATAAAGATACCTAACTGTTGCATATGTGTCTTACCTAACAACCTGTCGGTATTTTATATCATTTTATTGTTCAAGACTGTTATGTTGGGGGAGGTGGTAGGAGGGATGACATGGCTAGTCTTCGGAGTAGAATAGCTGAATTACACAATGATAGGTTTGATGCAATTAGGGTTAGAGCGGGGTTAGAGGACGTATTGTGGGGTGATAAGCCGTCCGGGTTTGTTTTACGTAAATTTCGAGACCGACAGAGAGTAACCACCATTCTACAATTGGAGACAAGCCCTGGGGTGGGAGGGTATCCAGAGGGTCGGGTCCTATCCAATACGGAAAGTATGAGTCTCTATGCTGATAGTTGGTTTATGGAAAAATGGAGTTGGAGGGAGGGGGGCTCCTGGGAGGGTATTTTTGAAGGGGGGTTCCATAGTGTTTTAAGTGAGCAGGATAGAGTGGGGTTGGAGGGTGGTAATAAGTGAGGTTGAGGTGGAAGAGGCAGTTTTCGGGATGAGTACCGGGAAAACACCAGGGATAGACGGTATACCAAATGATTTTTATAGAGCACACTGGGGGTGTATTAGGCAATGCTTTGTTAGGGTATTGGATCATATGTTAACTAGTGGGAAGTTGGGCACATCGCAAAGTACGGGTGTCATAGTTTTGGTGCCAAATTATTATTATTATTATAATCAAAAAAGAAGCGCTAAGCCACAAGGACTTTGGTGCCAAAGCAGAGGGGGGGGGGGAAGAGAGTTGAGTGCTTACCGAGCAATATCTCTGATGTGCGCAGATTACAAGGTTTTTGCGAAAATTTTAGGTAATAGACTGAAGGTCATGGGGTCGGTGATACATGGGGGAAAGTTTGGAATCCCGGGGAGGAGTATGCGGGTAGGTCATGAACGCATTAGGGATTTCCTCGAGGGTAGTAGTAGGGGAGGTATTCTTGGTCTGGATTGGGAGAAAGCTTATGATTATGTGGATAGGGAAATTTTTTTGATTGAGAGTATGGTGAGAATGGGGTTTGGGGGGGGTGGTGGGATGGGGGGAGGACTTTTGTTTGCGGATGCATCGATGAGAGTCAGGTAAAGGGTTTAGGTTGGGTAGTCCTGTAAGCATGGGGAGGGGTTTTAAGGCAGGGGTTGTCCACCTCCAAATACTCTTTGCATGTATGCAGAATTTCCTTTCTATTTCTGGTGTGGTGGTGGATGGGAAGGATGGGGGAGAGTGGAGGCTTTTGTGGGAATATTGTTGGTTATGTAGATGATACAACTGTTTTATTTAATGAGATAGAAGATTTAAGTAAAGTGGGAAGGGTTTACTTGAGATTTTTGGGAATGCTACTGGGATGAGAGTTAATAAGAAGAAATCACAGTTTGTGGAGGTGGGAGCTTGGGTAGGCGGGACCTTGGGGAGGGTTTGGCTGGATAATTGTAGAAAGGCTCAAGATTTGTGGGATTTTGTATTGGCAGATGCACAGGAGAGCAGGAGGGGTTTAATTCAGAAATGGTAATGGACAGAGCTTTGAGTAGGCTCAGGAGTCTAGGGGCCCGGGGATGTAACCTTGCATCAAAGGGTTGTGGTGGTAAATACGTGATTTTTTAGAAAGGGTGTGGGGAAGTGGCGGAAATTTATCCCTTACGAAGCCAGGATATTATGGAAATTTCAAAGGAGAGTATTAAGGTATGTGTGGGGTTTTTTGGGGGGGGCGTGGTTGGGCAAAGATGTGGTAATGACTGCGGTTTAAAACAGGGAGGATTCGGATTGATGGCATTAGGATCTAGGGTAAAGGCGCTATATGTAAAGCAAAGGTATATTCGGGCAGCGGGGGAAAGGGGTCTTCGAGTGGGGGAGGTGATGGGGGATATCCGCAAATGGTGGGGTGGCAGGGACTTAGTGGAGTGTGAAGATATGTTGAGGTTTATGTTAAAGGTTCGCAATGTTAAAAAGCTCAAGGTAAAACTGTTGGTGGGTGTGGGTCGTCGTCAGGAATCAATGCAGGGGATGGCAGTGTATCCCACATATGACTGGAGAGTGATATGGGTGGAATTTAGTAAACTAAGAATACAGGCAAGAGTGAGGGAATTAGTATACAGATTTCTTATGGGGACGTTAGCATCGAAAGAGGTGCTAAGACGAATGGGTTTTGTGAGAGAGGCGTCATGCGGTTTTTGTGGGGGAAATTGAAACTGCTTTCCATGTAGTATATTTTTGTTCTGCTTTGGAGGTGGTAAGATTGTGGTTGAAGAGGGTTTTCCTTTTATTGGGGGGGGGATGTCAGATATCACCCCTTTGGACTTTAATGTTAGATATGGGAGGGATGCCCAACGAGGTGGGGAGGGCTATCAGATACGTAATAGTTGATTTACTTGTATGTCTCTTGGGGGATGAGGGAGGTGGAGGGAAACATTAGGATAAAAGCGATGGCGGCGTGTTTTTATAGGACAGCGTGTAGGAACAAACAATTATATGGGGGAAGGTGGGTAACTAGTTTTCCGGAGGGATATCGTGGACTTACTGTTGAACGTTACTCCGCTTGGTGACGGGGTGAGAGGCAAGGGGTTGGTCTCTTCAGTGGTGTGTCCTTTGGAGTGATGGACGCCTGATGAGGAAGGTTGACTGGTTTGCAAGGTGTTTTTATTTTGGTAAAGTTTATTTGCAGGGAGCCGTCGGGGGCTCCGGGTATGTAGACCTTATGAATTTTGTAAAAAACCCACAGAGTTAAAAAGTTGTATGTGATTTTCTCTTTTTTCTTTTATCTTATAAAACCATTTTATATAGGGGGTTTATATTCATATGTATATGTGAGGATATGCTTTATAAATTCGAATCTGATGATAGCTTTGTCCTTGTCATACGTCTTATTTTTATCGTATAATTGAAGGGGTACATTATGAACTATATTCGAGAATATATAAGTATTTTATGGGGTTTATATATACCCTTCATTTTGTATGGAAGGTCATATTATATACTGAGTGTTAATCGGTAACATTAACTTTGTGTGTGTGTAGGTGTGTTTGTGGGAACCAATGTTTTAAGTATAGTTCTATATTTTTAGTTTATTTGGTGACTAGTCATTTTGCGTTTTATTTCTATGTATAATCCGGTGTGTTCTGTACGAACACATGTGCACATACACGTATGTGTGTATATGCATGTGTATATATATAAATCTATATATGATTGTAGGACTTGTTCCTACATGTTTTATAAAGACTCCGACTGTTTGTTTGGAAGTCGGTATGTTTTTTTTTTTTTCCATAAATTGGTTGGGTTATTT